AAGCCCTAAAACCCTAAACCCCTTAATGGATTCGACTCGGGCCTTGAAGGCCCCAAGGGCGCTTGCACTGGTGATGGAAGCCATGGAGGGAAGGCAGCGAGCAACTTGAGACCGCTACAATGTGAACTATAGTCTAAACTCCTTAAAGGGGGATTATATGGGGGATTATATAGGGGACTACTATAGGGGTTCTTAAGGGGGATACTAGGAGTTTAGACAGTGGCTCATGTGGCGCTTGTACGGCATTAGGGCTTCAAGGTGAAGGGTTTAGGGTGTGAGGATGTGTGAGGTTTTCGGCTTTAGGGTTCCATGCCAGGTTTGAGGCCATCATTGGCTATAGGACTTTGTTGAGGATGTAAGATTGTGGGTTCAAGGCTTGGGACATGGTTTTCACAAGCTGGGTATGGCTGTTCATTCGGTATGGCTGTTCATGCAGACTGTGAAAAGGGAAAATGTTCAAAACCCTGGTACGTCTTGAGCCAGACCGCAACTGCCAAACAGGACTGCCCTGAATTCTTGCATCTAGCTGCTACGGTTTCAGTATAGTGTCGGCAACTCTACAGGGCGTGCCGACTGTTTCAGCTTGATGGTGGCTTAGTCGACACGAGCACAAGGTAAAAAGAAACGTGTACAAGCAGCAAGTCAAGAGGGAGTCCTTGAAGGATCTCATTTCGTTGTGGAATGGCCTAGTGTGTCAGCGCCGACTTCTGGAAGAGGTTATCTGAGCTATAGTCTAAACTCCGAGTATCCCCCTTAGTAAGCCCTATAAAGCTCCCCTCTATAATCCCCGGTTTAGCGTAGGTACCTTTCAGTAGGCAATGGCCAGAACCCACCTTTCTTGCATTTGGCGGCGCCTCTACAAACCATAGCCAGGAACCCCAACCCTTTCAAGAGCGTCCGTGCGCAAAATAAAGTTGCGCAACGTTTCTGGAGAAAAGAAATGAATACTCCTTCATCACATTTTTTACAGTGTTGGGCAATTCTGGGCAGAGGGACGGCCGGGCGCGTGCTAATCTCCATGTTCGTCAATATCTGAAACTACCGGTAGCATCGATCCCCCCCAATGAGCAAGGTATAGCTGCAGCGTGGACACGCAACAAGGAATTATAGCACCCTTGCGCCACTCCAGCTTACACCTCTCAATTCCGAAGTGCATCATTCTCAAACCTCGGGCGCTCAGCTCTGGACATTCTGTCGTGCAAACCTCCGCTGAGCATCCTCGATGAGGGGCGCATGCCTTGCGTGCACTTTGTAATGGATCATGCCGCTATCATCATAACCACGGAAATCCCAACATCACTATCGCAATGTTTGCGTGTGCCACTGTTGATGATTATCACCGGTGGTATCGCAGCAATTGGAAACATCATTGTCGTTCAGCTCGCGCATTTGTGAAGGCCCGCAAATACAGAAGTTAAATGCAACCCAGGATCAGAAGCACCCCTTCCATGTCAAACGGGACGAAGGAATCGTCTCCGGCATAACAATGCGAAGTGATTCGATCCGCGCCCTCATTCAGCCTGTCAGGAAGAGTTCTTAATTTGCTGAGTCAAGGTTTTTGCTGAACTTGCTGGACACCCGAAACGAGCTCCACTATACTACAACAGTGCTAGCGTGGGACCTGACGGCGCTTGCAGACTACTATCCTCTTCACATGACGTCCCTGGACGCTTCAACACTTTGATGTCGATGTATTTGCCATTGGCTTGTCAGAGTTCGGGAAGCTCCATTGTTTTTCTGTGTGGGGACCCACGACATGAACAGATGTGCATATGTAGATGTAAGTGTGCGCACATGCGTGCGTTATGTACATGCATTGCATATACATACATGTATACGTATATGTCAAAAAGGCCCCTGCTGATTTGAGACCACTTGCTCGATTGCACGATTTGCACAAGTTCCTTGGAGCGGTGGGGTTAGTAAAGCCTTGTTGTGAGTCCTTGTTGTCGGGATTATGCTGTATGGCTAGGGAGCTCCTACAGAATGCGAGCCTTGCTTTTTAAGCGTTGACGTGCCTTCCCAGGGTTGAGGGTTTGGGGTTGCGCGAAGAAGTTCATTCTTTGAAGCCCTCCGCAGGAAAAAAAAATACGTACTCAAGGACACGCTCACCGAGATTGTTCACTCCCTGCGCTTGGAAGCCTTCTTCCACAAGTTTTATGCAATATACTTACTGGTTGTTAGTAGGGCATGAAGGAATACAATATGATACAGTTACTACATAATCCCTGCAGAATATGTCCCCTTATTCCCACTAAATCCCAGCAAGTATACTCTTGGAACAGGAGCAGGCCCGATGTTCCCAGTCTCCAACACTGACCGGTTTTGCTTGGCGTAACTAACTCCTAAAACTCCAAATAGCCCAATGTAGGTATTATTCATAGACTTGTGCCCAATGTAGGTACTAGTCTTGCTCATAAACTTAAAGCCCGAGGGTACGAGCAGAACACCGTCAGGAAAATCGCTAGGACGCCATCCCTGCTTCCTTGCTGGCCGCTTAGAGCCAATAAGTCAAACATGCCAAGTGCTAGCTTTTACCTCGTCTTTGTGAAGCAAACTGCAGGTCAACACTTTGCTTGCCACGCTTGATCCATACTCTCACTTGTCACCAAGCTCAAGTCCGGCATGTGACCGCTAGATCTGGAACTCAACAGTTCCTGTTCGATTGGGGTCTGAATTGTACATATGGTGCAACACCCTGAGAAGATACCCATTGTAGCTGCGCATTTCTGGGAGGTTGTACCTCCGCGCAAACTTCCTCATAGCGACAAGCACCGAACTTCGCGGCAAGGCTGGATCAATCAAAAAACCTTGTTTCACAAGCTCCTTTCGCACCTCTGTGTCCTTGGGTGCGACTCGCCACTGGCCATCTGTCGCGTGCGACAGGAACGCCCGCCTCAACTTTGCCAACACAGAGGAAGCGGAGTCTCCCGGCAAAGGCAAGGCATCACACCGCTTTCTGAGATTCAGCTTGTTATCTGGCACGTTCACAAATGTCAGCATGGCTTCAGCTACGTCAGCATTCAGCTTGTAGTCCAAGTAGCCCATCATGCTCAATGCCTGCTCCACCATGTCGGGAGAGTCATTGATCACAAAGGGGCCGCCGCCTTTGAAAATTTGCCGGGCAGTAGTGCCGCCGTATTCGTTCATCTTTTTCTGTGTCCTCCTGCTCGTCGAAGATATCGGCAGGAAATATGCTAAGTTGTTCCTGTAATGCTTCCACGGCGCTGTTGCACTTGCCTTTCTCACATATTCCAGCGTTTCTGCGAGGCCGCATTGCAAAGGAAACGCAGTTAGATCCCCTAAGCGATGCATGAACCAGAACCTGGGTTGTTGTTCAGGAAATTAAAAAATGCACCATCACAGGGAAACCCGAGGGCCGACCAGGTACCCATATCAAGACATTGGATCTATACAGCTATACTACTGCTGCCATGCGCATGCCAGTTGCTTGAAACACCGCGCTTTGTTGATGTGTCTCTTTCTTTTTCCTGCGCGCACGCTCAAAACATTCTAGAAATGAAAGGGGCGCACTTGCAAAGAGGCCTTTTTGGCGCGTGGGCGCAATCACCAAATATGCTTCGAACCCTGAATCTTTATTCAGCATATGCTTTATGCCTGTAAGGTCAGTATGGTACTCCTGGGCGGTGTACTCGGCGTAATCTCCACCTGCAGAACCCAAAACCACTTAACAACAAGTCTTTTGAAAGAAATTGGGCTTTCAACCCACGACTGTAAAGTGCACATTGTTTCATCAAACGCCCGTAATTTGAAGGGGCGCCCATACTTCCTGAAACGCCCGTGATTTCTCGGGATCCTACGACATTGAAACGCCCAGAATTATTGGCCTTTGCTAGGTTTTAGCAGCCAACAGAAACGAGCCAAAAGACCACAAATCCGCAAAGCCGCACGCGAAACAACCGTAAAATCATGTGTCGAGGTTTGAAACTAAAATTCCGAAGCTTGGCCTTCAGGCTTCGAGAAGAACACCGTAAATCTGCGACAACGCTTTGAAAATGACTTTTCGAAGGCAGGTTTCGAAGCCGATGTAGAGCCCCAAGAGGGTTCGAGAGCCAGGGGTTCGAAACCAAACCCAGATTCGAAAAAACGCACGTAAAAAAACAAACATGTAATAACACAATAAAAAACAATAAAAGCATGTAAAAAAGCCGTAGTTCCAAACACTCGGGGCTCAAGCCCTCGCTTCAGCGCAAGCAACGAAACGACGATAATTTGGAGGATCAAAACGGAGACAACCATAATCTGAAACCTCGCCCGTAAAACAAACAAACGTCCGTAAAACCAGGCTAAAATCCAAACGACCAATTGAAAAAGCGTTGAACGTTCTCCAAGTAAGAATAGGAAGAGCCATTTCTAGGTTTAGTTCCAACCAACGGCGCTGGGGATGTCCTCTCCTTGTGCCTTGCGTGAATTTGATTCTATCCTGACATCCTGGAGAAAACATAACGTGGTGAATGGGGTCCTGCGCCGGTTTAGTCAATGCCTTGGCTAGTTGTTTAAGCTGTTTGGAAGTAAGCGTTTGTGAGGGAACCTCTGAACTACCTGCAAGCCTCTATATTCTGGCGTTTGTAACATGTGTGTAATATGAGGCTTTGATTTCCATACATTTCCTAAGGTGCTGCCAATACCAAGCGTTGATAGTTTTCGAATGGCATGTTTCCAACGTCAAGGAGTCTAAGCCGTAAATGAGAGACGGGACCACTGATGCGTGATAAATACGAATCCTCGTGCGCCATAAACAACCATACAGGGTTTAGGGTTTATACGGAGCCCGCAGATAACCCAAACTCCTATTTGTCATTTGTTTTTTTACATGTGTCTCATTCAGATTCCCTACGACTGGGGTAGATTCAGGGGCAGGAAATACTATTTCATGACTCTGTGGGTTTATATATAGGGAGTGTGGTCCATGATAATGAAAAACTACTCCCAGGAATACTCCAGAACAGCATCCCAGGAACTTAGCAATCGAGGGTTCGAGATGGCCGCGATCTGTGCGGTATTTGAGCAACTGTAGAAACTCACTAAGCTCTTCAAAATCCGCAGAATCGTGCGCTGCATATACCCAGGGCTCTGCTTTCTTAACAGATCCGCCACCATGGGCGTGCAGAATGGCTCTGACTTTGGGCCCACCTTGGAATATTCTTGGCAAGGGCAACACACGCGCACCGGCTAACTCATATGTTCGAATACTGGATGCTGCTCCCTCTGGAATTAATACCACAATCTGGCTGCCGAGTGCAAGAATTGTTTGGACTGCTACCACAAAGTCGACGTCCGTTGTCAGGAGTGCTAGGCATATGTTCTTGTTCTCAGCTAGATAAAGCAGCCGATCCGAAATGGCCACATCAACGGCCTCGACATTCGTACCGCGCGGTACAGCCTCGAGGCAAGTGCCAGGCTCTGATAAGAAACTTTGCCATTTCTTATTCTTAGCTCTTTCTGGCGGTGCAAAAATGGTGGTCTTGACATTCCACCCTTCTCCTTGCAGTAGCTCAATAGCTTGCTTAGTTTTAGCAATGCCGCGCTGATCTCCATCCACAAGCAGCTCAGCCCTAGCCTTCCTGGATTTCGAATGCACGCGCACGTGGCCGGTTCCCTGCCGCAACGTGCTTCGACCACAGAACAACCTTAGCAAATTGGCCTGCCAGCAAATCAGCGCAGCAGCGCGGAGCTTTATCCATGATGGACCATGTTGCCGGACCCTGGGTCTGGATGGCATCTGCCGCCGGCTGATTGTCTTCGCCATGGGATGCCGCAGCCCGCATGGACACGGTGAACAGAGCATGCCTGACTGATCGAAAGTTTGCATTCCATGTGCTTTGAGCAATGCCGTGGAGCAATGGCGCGGACCTTGGAACCGGAACAAAACACTATCAGGTACAGTGCTAGCCGGAGTTTGTGCTTGTACTGCTGCCAACCTGGTCCCGCTCTTGACGTTCAAACATTGTGCAGTGTCCTTAAGGTGCCATGTGACAAGATAGTGGGCAGGTCCCGTAGGATGCTCTAGAGAGGAGGAATAAAGTCAAGCAAGTAGGCCCGAGAAACCACTGTCATGCCAATAGGGGCACTGCAATGTCAACGGATTCGCAGTATTGACACGTGCCCGCCTTGTAATCTCCAGAGTACTGGCAGAAAGGACTCAGTATCTCCATACCACTAATTTTTTCTGTTTCTCAATATGACCCCAAGATAACCCAAATATCCCCTTCGGGGTCCCCTAGAATGCGCCTGTATAGTTACCCCAAACACAGGGGTACAGCCCTAAAGCTCCCCCTCTAGAGTCGTCACAACTCGGAACCCAAGCCCTTGGACCCTACGCCTGCAGACTTAAAACTCAGAACCCAAACCTAGAGTTCAGTGTTGCAGCTTTAGGGTGTATACGCGGGGGTCTAGGGTGTAGGGTGTAGGCTCAGGGGCTTGGGGCGTAGGGCCTCAAAGCTAAACATAAAAGCCTGGGAACCTCACAACCAGAAATCACAACGTTGTTCCCAGAACAGCAACTGTCTATACTTTTCTATGTCACTACCCGAATCTTTCAGATCAACTATGATCATTCTGGTTGTTGGGGTTCACTCTAAACTAGTAACTAACCTTACTTATCCCAAAATAGCCTTCAAAGAGGGAAATTTAGGGATAGTATGGGGGTGGAACCCCAAAAGCCACTAAACTCCAAACCCCAAAAAACATCAACCCTATAGACCCTGCATCTAACGCCAAACACTCGCCTTCTGAGCACCTGGTGGGAGACACCTTCTCCTATCGAAGCCCAGGGCACGTCACACTTCACCTGGAAAATCAGGGGTTGCTTTAAGAGGCTATGTGGGTATAGGGCTGGTGTACCGGTATAAACATATATACATATAAATATATGTACATAAGTACATGTATAATTATGCATAGATAGGAGTGTCTACCAGTAAGGAAAGGGGTTTAGGATTTGGCCTTGTTTTTGGGGAGTCCCGGTAATATAGCTTATACTTCACTGTGTTGTTCATAAGGCCCCTATTGCATGGAACCTACCACTGGGTTGCCTGTCCAAGCAGATCAGGTTTGGGACTTCACCTTTCTACAGGCATCTTGCGATGAAGGTTCTGTTTGGAAGTTCTGCATGCAGAGCTCCGCGGAGTGGGGATTGTTAGGGTTTAGTGTTTGTAGAATTTAGGGTTTCAGGGTTGCGGTTTTGGAGTCGTCCTTCTCAATCTTTCTATGCATGAAGATTGTTTTCAGACCCTAGGCATGTTTGTGGAGCATAGAAGCACTAAGGGGCATGTGGTGGACAGTGTGACGTGCGTGATGCTATTTCTATTTCTTGAGGGTCCTATGCGTGGCTTGTACTGGGTTGCTGTTAATGAACTTAAGTTAAGTTACTATAGTGGGAAACCCGATTAATTGCTATATGTACCAACTGTGGTGACTTAATTGAAGTTCCTTAACAGCAGCCCAGTCTAGGAGTTATGTAGAATCTTATGGCGATAACGCAGGGTTGTCTGGAAATGGGATCGGCCCATGCTCCATGCCGATGGAAAACCTAATTTCTAAGCACACTGAAAGGTGAAGCATGTTTCTGGAGAAACAAGTTATCTTCCTTAAGAAAAAGGAAAGAGGAATTTATTCCATTCCGAGATTTTGAGGACCTCTGTTGCAACTATCTCAGAGGATGCGTTGGTTTAACAGGAGCACGTCAGAAAATGGAGTCTGGGAATTTGGACCCATGGTGTGGGTAGCACGATGTTTTCAAATTGGACTACATCAGCTTCCTAGAGCGGTACGTAGCTCAAAACCGAACCAGCTGGGGTAAGCGCCTACTTCATACACTTTTCAGAGACACATCCTGTGTGTGGAGCAAAGGGCGAGGACGCCCAGAAGTGGCACACTTCCAAGAAAAACATATGGGGCTCATAGCATGAGTGTTAGAGAACAATGTAGGGTTTGGATTTGGTTGTGATTGCTTACGCATTTTCTGTTGCGGCGGTCTCTTCTCTTGCCCACCCTGAACCCTAAACCCTAAGCGCTCTTCCCGACCCAACTGCTTTTGACCTGCTTTGCGGACGAGGAGCACCCTCCTCTGCAAAGCAGCAAAACTGCTCCTTCCCATCTTTCAGCTTACCCTGGCAATGGGGGCTGCAAAGCAGACAAGGGATTCTTTAAAGGGATAGGAACTAGGGTTTAGGGCTTAGGGTGCTGGGAGTTTCAAGGGGTCGCCGCTTCAAAGGACAGTAGTCTTCAAAAGGCCCTTATAGGCAATAAGTCGAAAAGTGTGTACATAGTCAACAGGAAGAAGGGCGCACTCGTTATCTACAGTGCAGTGGATGACCCCTGATGGTCAGTGGGTTTTGGCTAGATCGCTGATGTAGCTTTCTTCGTGGGATTGTAAAAGGATCCCCAAATTCCAGGATTGTTATAAAGGGCATAAATATGCGATCTCCCACAGTGCTATACTGCAGCATCTCTCTGTATCCGTGTACCCATGTGTGTGCTCTGAGACTTCAGTCGGGCTCCCTAAAACTCGATATAGTGCCGATAACCGCACTGACAGTAGCGACATTGACATTGACCTAAGACAAGACAAGCAAACGAGCGATAAACCATAATGTGACATTTGTCGTACTGGTGGTTCTTGCTGCTGATCAGAAGCGCCGCAATACAAAATGCCACCACCGACAGACCTGCCGATGTTTTGCGTGAACTCTGAGTGGCTTAAGACCCATCTAGGGTAATAGGGTTTAGAACGCTTTGGCATCTAGCCCCCTGCGGTCTACACAACAGTTGCAATAGGTACTGCAAGTACTAGAGATAAACTTCTAGAATGCACGCCTCAAAGTAGCCCAACGTATGCCTTTGTTGTTTCTTGAACCCACAACCCTTACTGAACTTGTGGCCCGGTGGCCGGAAAACCGCCGGCCTTCTCCGACAGAGGGCAATAGCTTTTCATCTTCTTGATCTGTGCCTGTGGCTGGGCTGTACCCAGACCTCCTTAAAGATCCAAAGAATGGACCTCCCCCCCCCCCACCCCTCAATCTGAACCCATTAATACATTGGGGAAACTAGAGGATTTTTAGGGGGTGTCATTTTTGGATCCTTTAGGGGGTCTGGGTAAGGGTTAAGGATTTAGGGTGGGCCCTTGATTGGGGTGGTAGGTCTTCATGTTTTACATAGACTATGGTATATATAGGCTCCAGCATTTAGGACCCATACTAGGGGCCCATGGTTCCAACCTTAGATGGGCTCAAGATTCAGCTCAATATGCATCATTCAGCATGCGGCATGACACTCGGGACAAGTTGACAATCCAACAAGACCCTGGACCCTAGATCATGTAACAAAGTGATTCCTAGAGGCTTAATGCCAAACAACTGTCAACATGAGAACGTCTCAAAACTTGCGCACCCAAAAAACCATGTCTCGACTCCTTGGACTTTTAAAAACACCCTAGCATTAGTCAGACCTGACACGAAACCTTGCTTCTCAAGGGTTCCAGGGTTGTGACCCCAAGAGCCTCCAATCTGGCAACCCCTACAGCCGTTATATGGACCAATGTAGTTTCTGAGGGTCTGTCAAAGGGATTCTCAAACTCCGGGGTACAACACTAGGGGTTCTCCTTCCCTTCCTGGAGTATGCGGTATTTTTGTGAAACGCAACTGTTAAAATTAGAGCTCTAGACCCAAAACTATTTCAAAAGTCATAAGAAAGTTACAAGGTCCTAACTTGCTGGGGCTGGGGCTACAGACTCCCTCAAGCCAAGGCCGCGACGTCGTAGACCCTCGGTTTGGGCAGAAGCACAGTTTGGAGTTCAGGGTTTAGGGCTTAGGATTTAGGGCAAATACCTGAATAGCCTCTGACGAATTGAAACAGGACGAAGGCCGCACCTATATGATGAGATTACCCGGACCAGGATTTATGCGTCTTGCATCCTATGTGAGTTTCTATGAACTGATTGTCGCATGTGAAGCTGGCTTGCCCTGGGTTCATAGGACCGCAGCAATACCGGAACCCAACCAATGAGATCCCCACTGCAGGTATAGTACCAGAGCAGAAGGGTGAACATGTCATGGACTACTCGGAAAATTACCAAACGGTTCCACATTCGTCAACATGCTGCCAGAATTGCATCGTGTGTCTGTGGCAGTTATCACTGCCAATGCCTTGTTGCTTTCTGCCCATGGAATGACATGCGGACTTTGGCATTCCTTACATAGCGCCGTCTCCAAAGTCACGGAATGTAATGGTCTCCGATTCATGTTCCCTGTCAATCTTCCATTTGATTCTCCATTGTTGGTAACTACTGGCCTCTGGTTAGCTAGGAATGAAGAAATGGATCTTTACAGTAGTCCCTATAAAACCCATTATACTAGTTTCCATTTTCTTTTCCATTCCTTCATTCCCAGCGAACCCAAGGCGAGATTATTCACGCCCTTGGGTTCTTGTCACCGAACACCGGGTCCAGGGCTTGCTCAATTCTGGCCAAAGGGAGTAGGTAGAAAGGCTTAGAGTTTAAAGGGACTCTACTGGGAACCCCAAACCGGGAACCCCAAGAATATAGTAGGTATATAATAGCAATATACCTACCAGGGTCCTTATATTCCATTATATTCCTGCTATATTCTTGTGGTTCCCTATTTGGGGTTCCCAGTAGGGTCCCTTTAGAGTTTATAGCAGCCCAAAGACCTAAGCCCTTACATCTAAACCCTACACCCTAAACCCTGTGGCTTCCATGTTCTT